TATCCAGTGTATCAACAGTGATTCATTCCTTGTGATGGTGCTTCTTGTGGCCCAGAACCTCATGGCATGTTGAAGTGATTGCCTCTTTGATCTACTTCTAGTTGCTCTCCATAGTAGTTCCTCCTCCATTGAGTAGATCATGAAAGGCCTGGAACTTGTTGCTGAGGACTATCTTGAATTTTTTGAGTTTGTCAATATCACGAAGAAAGGCTGTATCGAACTTTTGTGATATTGTCCGCCCCATTGTCCAGTACTTCTTGAGTTTCAATTTCATCTTGGCGACCAGCAAGTAATGATCTGATGCTATATCAGCTCCTCTCTTGGCTCTTACGTCCTCCATCGTCCTCCTGAACTTTTTGTTGATGCAGATATGGTCGATTTGGTTTTGTGTGGTATGATCCGGTGAAGTCCATGTGGTTTTGTGTATGCGTTTATGTGGGAATATGGTGCCGCCTATGACCAGTTTATTGAAGGCACATAGGTTTGCAAATCTCTCACCATTTTCGTTTCTTTCTCCCAGTCCGTGTCGTCCCGTGATGTCTTCATATCTGGTGTTGTCTATTCCGACTTTGACATTTAAATCTCCCATCAGAATGGTCAGGTCTTTTGTTGGGCACTTCTCGATGATTGACTGCAGCCTATTGTAGAATTGATGTTTAGCACCTTCATTGTAGTCGTTGGTAGGTGCATAGCATTGGATGATGTTCATTGAAATGCCCTCTTTCTTTGTTTTGAAGAGGGCTTTGATGATCCTTAGTCCATGAGATTCCTATGCTATAAGTGCATTTTGTGCTTGTTTGGACAGCATCAATGCAACTCCTTGTGTACGTGGGGCATTTCCTTCATCATGGCCGGAGTATAGCAGAAGCTCCCCTGAAGCTAGTCATTGTTGTCCAACTTTCGTCTAATGTGTATCACTGAGCTCAAACACCTCTAGGTTGTATCTTCTCATTTCCGCAGCAATTTGGAAGGCTCTCCCAGTCTCCCACATTGTAGAACATTCCATGTACCTAAATAAATGGTTGCTCTGGTTGTCAGAATGAGCATCGGCCTCGTGACTTTCGAAGGAGCTCGGCTTTCATCATGAGGCGTCATAACTCTTCTAAATGAAGACCTCCTGACTCCCAGAGCAGAGTTCAAATGGTTTGAATAATTTTTTCTGGTTAGCGTTTTTTAGCGAGTTAGTTTTCTACGAGATAGGGTCGCTAACCCCATGTCCAACTCTCCTCCTTTATCCGGGCTTGAGACCGGCAGTAGCCCCGGGAAGGACGCCAGACAGAGTTACGGGTTAGCTCCACTGGAAACTAAATCAAAATTCATTTTATTAGTCTAGAATGGATTTTTAATGAAACTAATCGAAAACTTCCAGTAAAAACTGGAAATTTTTCCAACTTTCAACAGTTTATATTTTTCATCAACAAAGTGGAATATATTCATCATTTATATTCTGATAATTGAAATTTCACTGTAACACTTCAATAAAAAAAGGTAATTTATTTAGATTTATTGATTTAAACAAAATAACCATGAGTTTATTCACTGTTATTGAACAAACCCAATCACCCAACTTTGGGGAAATTTCGGGGAAATCCCCAACGTTTGGGGGGAAATTTCGGAGTTTTTGTGCCATTTCCCCAAAATGTCCCCAAATGGGTCAAATTTTCCCCAAATTTGGGAGCTTGGGAATATTCTGTAAAAATCTTCAGTTCAAAGGTTGAGGTCAATAAAAACACCATCTTCTTGAGTATTTTGTAAGTAACTAGCTCGAAAATCATACACTTTAGCAAACAGATAAGTTAACTTTTCTTAAATTACACTAAATTACACTTAAATAGATAGCAGGGTAGAACTCCATTTTTATCTTTAGCTAATACGAATCATTGAATCAAGTTTATGTTCTTGAAAATTCTTTTATTTATAATGAAATTGAACTTAGCCTCATTTTGTTGGATTTCAGATCTTAATAAGTTACGAAGGACATTTTGTAGGGATATTACAGACGGTATTCTATAAGCATTGCCAGACTAATTACAGAGAAGAATCTTCTCGTTAATTAACGGAAAAAGTCAGAGTTGTAAAGCTAAAACTTAAAGGAATTAACAAAAGCAAATCACTAGATGTAGAAAACTTACTTGTCTAGGACTTGTGTGAAATAACTAACTGAAAGCTATTTATTGATTCACTGATCTAAATAGCATACGTATCAACCATGCACAGAATTATTTACGTGAACTCACTTTGTGGAACTGCACATCTAGACTAAATTACGTTGAAAGTAAATGTGTCAATACCTCGATTACACAATTATTTTTTATCTGAGAACGTAATATGGCTATCTTAATCCCAAAACTGTTCATACCATCGTTCACAAGTAGTTTAGAACCTGTTTATACTTCTAATACAGTTATCTATCCTAATACTTCAGGTATATTCCACTATACTGTTACCATGAAAGCGGTAACAACCAATACTTTTATGGTTTATCTTAGTTATAATGACCTCAAATGGTTACTCTAACTTCAACTACATAATATCATGCTCTATTTATAGTTTCTATTTATTTGGTCACTCCATAGAAAATTAATGTCAACACGTAACATTTTAAATTATCTTACAAACTATAGTCAACTTTATCTAAGCAAAACTAAGATAGTATGTGTTCAGTATAGTAGTCAATGTGAAGAATTTCTTAGCTTTAACGTTTTCATTCCAAGATTATCTTTCTTTCTTAGAGTACAAGTGAAAAGACTACATGATCGGGAAGCGGTGAACCTTACCGCATAGTTCACTGATGTAGAAAGAACAAAACACGAGTAGTTGTTGTGTCCCGATAAGAATAATGAATGGTAACTTTTGGGATCCATTTATGGACCAATATCATGAGTATATTTTTATCGCATAATTGTTAATTAACTAAATTAATTATATTCATGTCTCTCTTATCATAAGCTTTATTTTAACCTATAAACTGTTATTATACGATTTTCCATTCTTAAATTATGCCTTGTCTATTAATCACTACCTCCCACATTCACAGCCATATTTGGCCAAATCTTGTACAAATGTTGTTTTCTATTTTATGGTACGATGTGGTCTACTTGATTGGTATATAAACAGAGTATGTTTGAAATAAATGATTCATATTGCAGAGGCTGAGGCTGGTGTTCTGAACTTAACTGGCTGGGCTAGGTGGGAAGCAGGACCAACCAGGACTCTAGGCTGTTCGCACCTGTTTTACGCGTCCTTGGTCCGATCGATAATTCACTGCCCTCTAATTGGCGGTTACAAGATATAACAGTAGCATAATTTCTTTTCAGAGCAAAAGAGCATAGAGATTCATATTACTTCCCTATTAACTCCTGTTCTCTGTTCACACCATATCGCATATTTTAAAGTATACTACTTTCTCGTAATTTTGAGTGCCAAGTTAAACTAAAAAAAGAGTACTGTGTACCAATAAATCCAATAAATCCTCAATAAATTGAACATTAAGATCAACATATGTTATTGGTTGGACTGTTGATCGTTCTGTTGGTAAATAACTTCATCGAAACAAAATCAGATACATAACCAACAAAGAAATAAGTCTATTAAAGCTGTACCCTTTCAACTGTATGATAAACCGAAAGTACTTAAAGAAAACATCATTTCATCAACAGTTGTATTCAATTTAGTGACGTTTAAATACAATCTATCAAACGGAATATTATCAAAAGTATTACAAAATTATGATGTGTATATATCACTAAAATGATAGTTAAATATTTGAGTAACCATAACAATTAGAAAATGCTTCAAACACTGTGAAATAATAATGAACAATTGGTACAAACATCATAATCTGATGGTGATTCTCAATAATAAGTTTGATATAGTTAGATCAAATCACATTAACTGATTAATATACTCATAATAATGCTTCCTCTGTATTGTTGACTCACAACCATAATGATGACATTCCTTTCATGTGCACTTCTATTTAGTACTCATTATTCATCTACTACTACTACTACTCATAATACTATTAATACTACTACTCAAAGTACTACTACTGTAGTGAACGAACACTCAGATGAAAAAGGCCAGTTTATATTGATCGGTACATAATTATGCAGTGGTTTAGTAAAATGTGAAAATCATACGTGAACTACTGCATTTTCACATCATTTCATCGTCTCTTACAAGCTTCATTGTTGCTTCATTCCTGTTGTTATCTTGATTGCTTTCAGTTTCTTTCTCTCTTCTCTATATTTCAGTCGCCTAAACCTCAAGTATTACTTACATCACGATTACTTCTATTCCCACTAGAACTACTGCTATTACCGCATATACTACAACAATTACAACACAAGAGTTACTGATATTCACATTAGTATATATATCAATTAATACGAATACATCCAACGTGTGAATAGATATCCAGTGTGCTGATCTACGTGCCGATTTGAAAATGTTCAATAATAATAGAATAATATTGCATTAGGTCACATTGAATGAAACATGAAGTCAAAAATTATCAGCAGATAAAAACACTAATAAAGATTATGTAAGTGGATTGAATTTAAGATTGAGAAGGATAACAACTAAAGAAATTAATCTCTTTTCACGAACACTGATCTTTTAAGAACTAAGATTAAAACGATTGTGGTTTGATTACAATGAGAAATATTAGTGTAAATATGGGTTATGTTATTAAATACTACCATTCAAATACATTAGTTAATCAAATGATAGACAATGCCCTTTACATGTTTTCATTCAATTAAAGTATAAAGTGAGAAATTGTATATGAAAAGGATTATTAAACGATCACACTTATGAGAGATGATCTGTATTGTCTACGTGAACTCTTGTCATTTCATTCATACAACATATTAGCAACAAGAAAATTAGTATATAAGTGAAACTGATTTACAAATACAGCGTATTGAAGTTGCAAATTCAACTTGATATCACACTGATTATCTTATGAATAACTCTGAATCAATCACACACAAATCATGATATTGATGAAGACGATTTTATTGACATTCTGTTTCTATTTGACACTAAAATTGAATCACATTAGTGGACAACTAAATGAACTCACCAATGTACAACAGAATCAAACTATCTCACATATTGTTTTTGATGCAAATGAAACTAATCCGATTGCCAAGAACAATCAATCGGAAATGAATGTTACGGATCTAGTGCAAAATCAATCGGATTCATCATTAACAAACGAAATTCCGATGCCTTATTTATCAGTGACCACATCGAATGATCACATGTACGATCAAAATGCGAACGAATCAAATGTGAAATATGGAGGCGAAGAACAAGGAACAAAATCAGATATTGACAATGAAAAGAAAAGGAAGTCACAACAAACACAACTTATCATAGATTTCAGTGGAACAAATGAGAAAAGATTAGCGTTACAAAGACAAATATCGGAAAGAAATGACAGAAAATCTTCGATTGTACAAAATCAAGAGCAGCGTGCAATATCGAAAACCGAAAGAAATATCAGTGAATTTGAAGTAGAGCAACAACAAAAAATAATACAAACAGAAAAACAAGATGATCAAAAATGTCGGAAAGAAAACGAAGTAACAAAAATAAATGAAAAGACGAAAAACGAAGAGAAAATTGATGAAAATCCAATACATACCGATAATGAGACAATACTCAATACTACACAATCCACAAAACAAAATTCTGAATCACCAAAAATACATCCAGTTACCGACGTTATGGAGCCAACAACACAACGATATATCGACAATTCACAAGATATACCGAACAAGACCAAAACCAAAATAACAACAATCACAATCAAAAACACCACAACCACGATAACAACAACAAATACAGATAGTAAACGAAATTATCCAGAAAAAACAAAAACATCATCGGAAACACCGAAATCACATTCACATGAAGTGTTCGCGAAATTTCCCAGAGAAAAATATGTCGAAAACAGACAGGAGATCAACACAACAACCATCACAAGAATAACCACAACAACAAAAACAAAAACAACAATCACGAACATAAATACTGACAATAAAAATAACACTGCAAATTTCAAACAAAATTTATACAGATTAACAACGTCAAAACCAGTTACCGAAAACGCCAAAATAATAACAGAACAATTACAAGACAAAGCACAAGACGTGCCCAACATCACCACCATCATCAACACTGAGACTACACTCACCACTGCACAATCCACACAACCAACATCTGCATCTCCAACATCACAACCAGTTACCGATGTCGCGCAACTCACAACAGAACAATTACTCGACAACGCACAAGTCGTGCCCAACATCACCACCATCATCAACACTGAGACTACACTCACCACTGCACAATCCACACAACCAACATCTGCATCTCCAACATCACAACCAGTTACCGATGTCGCGCAACTCACAACAGAACAATTACTCGACAACGCACAAGTCGTGCCCAACATCACCACCATCATCAACACTGAGACTACACTCACCACTGCACAATCCACACAACCAACATCTGCATCTCCAACATCACAACCAGTTACCGATGTCGCGCAACTCACAACAGAACAATTACTCGACAACGCACAAGTCGTGCCCAACATCACCACCATCATCAACACTGAGACTACACTCACCACTGCACAATCCACACAACCAACATCTGCATCTCCAACATCACAACCAGTTACCGATGTCGCGCAACTCACAACAGAACAATTACTCGACAACGCACAAGTCGTGCCCAACATCACCACCATCATCAACACTGAGACTACACTCACCACTGCACAATCCACACAACCAACATCTGCATCTCCAACATCACAACCAGTTACCGATGTCGCGCAACTCACAACAGAACAATTACTCGACAACGCACAAGTCGTGCCCAACATCACCACCATCATCAACACTGAGACTACACTCACCACTGCACAATCCACACAACCAACATCTGCATCTCCAACATCACAACCAGTTACCGATGTCGCGCAACTCACAACAGAACAATTACTCGACAACGCACAAGTCGTGCCCAACATCACCACCATCATCAACACTGAGACTACACTCACCACTGCACAATCCACACAACCAACATCTGCATCTCCAACATCACAACCAGTTACCGATGTCGCGCAACTCACAACAGAACAATTACTCGACAACGCACAAGTCGTGCCCAACATCACCACCATCATCAACACTGAGACTACACTCACCACTGCACAATCCACACAACCAACATCTGCATCTCCAACATCACAACCAGTTACCGATGTCGCGCAACTCACAACAGAACAATTACTCGACAACGCACAAGTCGTGCCCAACATCACCACCATCATCAACACTGAGACTACACTCACCACTGCACAATCCACACAACCAACATCTGCATCTCCAACATCACAACCAGTTACCGATGTCGCGCAACTCACAACAGAACAATTACTCGACAACGCACAAGTCGTGCCCAACATCACCACCATCATCAACACTGAGACTACACTCACCACTGCACAATCCACACAACCAACATCTGCATCTCCAACATCACAACCAGTTACCGATGTCGCGCAACTCACAACAGAACAATTACTCGACAACGCACAAGTCGTGCCCAACATCACCACCATCATCAACACTGAGACTACACTCACCACTGCACAATCCACACAACCAACATCTGCATCTCCAACATCACAACCAGTTACCGATGTCGCGCAACTCACAACAGAACAATTACTCGACAACGCACAAGTCGTGCCCAACATCACCACCATCATCAACACTGAGACTACACTCACCACTGCACAATCCACACAACCAACATCTGCATCTCCAACATCACAACCAGTTACCGATGTCGCGCAACTCACAACAGAACAATTACTCGACAACGCACAAGTCGTGCCCAACATCACCACCATCATCAACACTGAGACTACACTCACCACTGCACAATCCACACAACCAACATCTGCATCTCCAACATCACAACCAGTTACCGATGTCGCGCAACTCACAACAGAACAATTACTCGACAACGCACAAGTCGTGCCCAACATCACCACCATCATCAACACTGAGACTACACTCACCACTGCACAATCCACACAACCAACATCTGCATCTCCAACATCACAACCAGTTACCGATGTCGCGCAACTCACAACAGAACAATTACTCGACAACGCACAAGTCGTGCCCAACATCACCACCATCATCAACACTGAGACTACACTCACCACTGCACAATCCACACAACCAACATCTGCATCTCCAACATCACAACCAGTTACCGATGTCGCGCAACTCACAACAGAACAATTACTCGACAACGCACAAGTCGTGCCCAACATCACCACCATCATCAACACTGAGACTACACTCACCACTGCACAATCCACACAACCAACATCTGCATCTCCAACATCACAACCAGTTACCGATGTCGCGCAACTCACAACAGAACAATTACTCGACAACGCACAAGTCGTGCCCAACATCACCACCATCATCAACACTGAGACTACACTCACCACTGCACAATCCACACAACCAACATCTGCATCTCCAACATCACAACCAGTTACCGATGTCGCGCAACTCACAACAGAACAATTACTCGACAACGCACAAGTCGTGCCCAACATCACCACCATCATCAACACTGAGACTACACTCACCACTGCACAATCCACACAACCAACATCTGCATCTCCAACATCACAACCAGTTACCGATGTCGCGCAACTCACAACAGAACAATTACTCGACAACGCACAAGTCGTGCCCAACATCACCACCATCATCAACACTGAGACTACACTCACCACTGCACAATCCACACAACCAACATCTGCATCTCCAACATCACAACCAGTTACCGATGTCGCGCAACTCACAACAGAACAATTACTCGACAACGCACAAGTCGTGCCCAACATCACCACCATCATCAACACTGAGACTACACTCACCACTGCACAATCCACACAACCAACATCTGCATCTCCAACATCACAACCAGTTACCGATGTCGCGCAACTCACAACAGAACAATTACTCGACAACGCACAAGTCGTGCCCAACATCACCACCATCATCAACACTGAGACTACACTCACCACTGCACAATCCACACAACCAACATCTGCATCTCCAACATCACAACCAGTTACCGATGTCGCGCAACTCACAACAGAACAATTACTCGACAACGCACAAGTCGTGCCCAACATCACCACCATCATCAACACTGAGACTACACTCACCACTGCACAATCCACACAACCAACATCTGCATCTCCAACATCACAACCAGTTACCGATGTCGCGCAACTCACAACAGAACAATTACTCGACAACGCACAAGTCGTGCCCAACATCACCACCATCATCAACACTGAGACTACACTCACCACTGCACAATCCACACAACCAACATCTGCATCTCCAACATCACAACCAGTTACCGATGTCGCGCAACTCACAACAGAACAATTACTCGACAACGCACAAGTCGTGCCCAACATCACCACCATCATCAACACTGAGACTACACTCACCACTGCACAATCCACACAACCAACATCTGCATCTCCAACATCACAACCAGTTACCGATGTCGCGCAACTCACAACAGAACAATTACTCGACAACGCACAAGTCGTGCCCAACATCACCACCATCATCAACACTGAGACTACACTCACCACTGCACAATCCACACAACCAACATCTGCATCTCCAACATCACAACCAGTTACCGATGTCGCGCAACTCACAACAGAACAATTACTCGACAACGCACAAGTCGTGCCCAACATCACCACCATCATCAACACTGAGACTACACTCACCACTGCACAATCCACACAACCAACATCTGCATCTCCAACATCACAACCAGTTACCGATGTCGCGCAACTCACAACAGAACAATTACTCGACAACGCACAAGTCGTGCCCAACATCACCACCATCATCAACACTGAGACTACACTCACCACTGCACAATCCACACAACCAACATCTGCATCTCCAACATCACAACCAGTTACCGATGTCGCGCAACTCACAACAGAACAATTACTCGACAACGCACAAGTCGTGCCCAACATCACCACCATCATCAACACTGAGACTACACTCACCACTGCACAATCCACACAACCAACATCTGCATCTCCAACATCACAACCAGTTACCGATGTCGCGCAACTCACAACAGAACAATTACTCGACAACGCACAAGTCGTGCCCAACATCACCACCATCATCAACACTGAGACTACACTCACCACTGCACAATCCACACAACCAACATCTGCATCTCCAACATCACAACCAGTTACCGATGTCGCGCAACTCACAACAGAACAATTACTCGACAACGCACAAGTCGTGCCCAACATCACCACCATCATCAACACTGAGACTACACTCACCACTGCACAATCCACACAACCAACATCTGCATCTCCAACATCACAACCAGTTACCGATGTCGCGCAACTCACAACAGAACAATTACTCGACAACGCACAAGTCGTGCCCAACATCACCACCATCATCAACACTGAGACTACACTCACTACTGAACAATCTCCACCATTATCATCTCTTTCTACTACGTTTAAACCTGTAACATCTATGGGTGTTTTGACACCTGATTCGAATCCGCCCATTTTTCCTACACAGTTAATTGATTCACGGACATTTTCGCATTCGTCTTCCGATTTCGAACGTTCTCAACGTTTTGTTCCATCGTCTACTAATTCTTCGTCTGAATCTGATCGCTATTCTGAGGATGATTTTTATGATATTTTGTATGATAGTCTTTGTCTGTTTCCTTCTCTTTCGAATTTTTCGAGTGATGTTTGGAAATCTGATTGTGCTGACAGTGATATTGATTTTTTCATCTCACATTGTAGTTTCTCGGAGATTTATCATGCTTCTTTTAATATTAACAAAGTATTCTTTTTGAAACTTCTGAAATGTTGCCGAACACTCATCAGAAATTATGATGATTTATTCAATGTTTATTCTGATACAAATCATCTATGTTACAAATACTTTCACTGTTAATCGTTGATTCTACTTATTCATGATTGTAATTTAGTAGTATGTAATATGATATTTGTCATAAATCCACTACACAATGGAAATGTGTTATTCCACTATATTTCCAATGATTATTGAGTAGTTATTATTTAATCTAAAATGATATATGCCGAATAATATTTTTCTTTTATGTTCTGATTCAATTTTCAATTTTAGCCATTTTCTTATGATGATTGAATATACTCCGTTCATATTTATTCAAAATAATTCGATTATTGTTTCGTTAATGATCATAGTGTAATAAAGTAAACTACATTCCTAGTTTATAATCCCTAATCCTTTAAATTGATTTTTGAACTCACATTACACACTGTATTTAGACAGATGGATTGTGAAGTGTTTTGAAGTGTTTCATGTTTTTCATCACATAGTTGATCAACCAATAATACAGCATTGATTATTTTACAGGTTTCATTTGTTATTCAAAACTCATTCATTTCAAACATTTAGTATGTATTCATGGAATGGAGTGTAGAGTGTCAACCGATGGGACAAATGTGTCCTATCCTTTTAACGAACATTCAACTGATGTTAGTCGGTGACACCAATCATCTATCAATCAAACCATCCTCTACAAACTCTTTCACACCAAATCTCTTAGTTTAATAAACATTTTCTATTGTTGATCTGAAGAACTATTGTGAATAGTGAGTAATTATGTAAGTTAATTATGTAACAAATAATGATTTTAGCAACGTAGTAATGTCGTTACGTTGATAACATCTTGAAATTCCCTGGTTTCACTTAAATCAACGAATTCGAAATTAAGATATTTGACTTCTTATAACTGAAAATCAGAAGACAATATGTAGGTTAAATAAGGATTGGAACTGTTGGTCTCTGAAGAACTGGGTTTATTTTCACTTCAACTGTGAATATTCTGCTTATTATTTGGATAACATTAATTAACGATGATAATAAGAATAACAGTAATAGATGAACACTGTACCAATTGTTGAACCTATAGAAAGTGTGTAGATGCGTTGAGATTTAAGTTTCAATATTCTTTCTATTCATTTCGATGTGTTCTAGATACTGGAAGTGTTTAGATATGCATGACTAACACTAGAAAGAGAGCGAACACCAAGTTCTTTTTCGTATGTCTGCTGTACCGTCGAATAAATTTGCAAAATAAATCATTACTGAATTTTAAAACTCATCACTTTAGTTATAAAGGATTTAGAGATTTGTGGACACTCAATCATACACTCAGATCATTTCTTGATACTAGTTCTCTCATGTAACACGCTATAATCATACTGTCAAAATCCAGTCTCTCACTCTTACATTCGTGAGATTTTACACAGAATCACAGAAAATATACTTCCTGATTAATATTATCTTTGTTTAACTATCAATCTTCTTTTGAGTTAATGTATGTACAAATTTTTAGATGAATTTGATGTCAGTATTAATAAGTTATGTCATGTCAACTATATGAAGAAGATGTTATCTAACTCTCTCTTAGATTGATTGTTTCTATGACTTTTTCTTAATCTGCAGATTTATCTTTATCAATTTATGTGCATTTCTCATCATAACTTCCTTGAAAGTACTTCTCTTATTCAAACGATCATATTATTATTATTATCTTCATTAATGAAAAGAAATTCTCCTAAAATAATTTATATGATTATTTTTTGGATTGAGATCATGAACCGATTGACTACCATCAATAGGTTTATGATCTCAATCAAAAACTTAATCTCCATAACCCCTAAACTGATATTTGATTATTATTATATTGAATATAACGAATCATTCTAACTTTAAGTAAATAACCGTTTTGGTTTAAAAAGGGCAATTTTCTAGTAATCATGCTTTAACAAATGTAAATGTTAATCATTTCCAACATATAACATTACTTAATTCATTGATATATTTTTATAGATGAATTCATAAGTCAATGGTGGATGGTGGCGGAACTTTGTGGATCGGCTGGAGTTACACATTAACAACCGTTGAATGCCGATTCAGTGTTCTAGAGGTTAAGCGCTCGTGTACGAGACTGATAGGTTCTGGGTTCGAATCTCACGGGACAGAATCATAGAGCCTGATGAAGAAATTAATGAAAACAATTATTCATGCGAATATTCTTTGTTTTTAAATATTATTTGGAGATTTTTAAATTTCTTTAAAAACCCTACCTATTTAATTTTTTTCCTAAATTTTATTCATCTACTTGTTTCCTTATTTAAGTAGTTCTTTATTATTGACGAATCAAATTTGAAAGTTGTTTTATGAAAATTTAATGAAAACTTTATCTCCAATAATGCAGAATTACTAAATGTACTTTTGTGAGTAATTCTATATTATTGTTGCATGATTTTTACTTGTAAACAGATTAAATACTTAAAATTAATCGGGTATAATATTTGTCTAAAAATCTAATGGTTTAATAAAACAACTGTGATCGTTTTGTTACTAGGTGTTCTTTAAAAACCAACAAAAACAAAAACAAAAATGACTTAAAATACAAATATGTTCTATAAGTAAAGATGGATAATGGTTAGGAATGGAATCCAGGATGCGCGTTTCATCCTGTTTGGAACCCGTCAATTGAACTCGAACCTAGTAAATTTCGTTTCAAACGCCGTCGGGTTATCCACTTAGCTACTGAGTACTGGAGTGAACATCAACTCTGACATTCAGGTAAATCCAACTGACAAGTTTAAAATATAACGAAACGCATGTCCTGGATTCCACGGCTAGCCATCATTCATCTTTGCTTATAAAGCTTGTGATTTGAGGCAATATCGAGGCAATCCGTACAGGATGCACATACGCGAACAAGAGACTGATCAATTGCAGTCCTAAACAACAATGGGAAGATACAAGCAAACAACACGAAATGAATTTACAAATAAGTTTGTTGTAAATAAGAGGTATATGAAACCATGTGATGATATGACGGAAGTATAAAGGGAGTTGTTTGAACTTAATAAATGATAGTGAAATGCATTCAGTACATTAGGCATTCATTGCTTTTAATTAGAATACCGAGTTATTTGAAGAAGTTACGGGATGTTTCAAATGAGGTCAACGAAATGTTTAAATGAGTGTTGTTGAGAAGAATAGCTTCATTAAAAAAACAAAAACAAAACAAAGTGGATTTCATTCTAAGGTCTAAATGGATAAATTTTATCATTATTATTATTATAATTATTAATATTATTTTAGGAAGTGTTGTGACTTTATGTCCGGCATTTTATCACGTGATTTATCCACCAATCAAAATACGACTTATACAATCTTAGCACTGTGCCAAACCAATGACATTGTTTGATGACGAACATTTTGATAACAATGAACTGAAGTAACCAGGCAATTACTTTTTTCAGACTCAAGTTCGAATGTGGTTAAAGTCACAGAGGATTTATTTGTGAGTAATTTGTTTCTAGTAACATTTCCACCAATAGACAACATATTCTGACTCGTGATTTCCAGTTCCATCAGAATCAGAAATAGCTCGTGTATGCTGTAGAAATGGCTATGAAACTGATGGAAGAAATCTTAATCACCCTCAAAAGAAGGGAGTAAGTGTAATAAGTCTATAAGAGTGTTTTGTCCAGTGCTTCATCAAGATATATTTCTCCAGCGTTTATATTTTCTAAGCAGACAGGAAGATGATGGAGTGTAGTTCGTAAAAATGTGCACCACGACTATGAATGCAATCCACTGGCTTATCACAGTATTTCATCGATGCGGAAGCCAACAGGATCAGAGTTCGAATCCATCGGGCCTCTTGTATTTTCAGCCACTGCTGCATTTAACCGGGTCTATTATTTATACCTCTCATTTTGGAAGCGTCTGTATTTACGGGATGTGTTCAGTACGAGTCATAAAGTGTCTATATGTAAACGGATAAAATAATATCACTCAGGAGATGTCGTGAGTATAGACCGGATAAACGTGATGAGTTAGAGTATTATTTATTTGCAACGGTGGATTAAAAGAACTCGATGAATCGTTATCTTGATGTTTTCGGTTTAGATGGAACCTATAGAACAAGCAACGAATACTTTTTCTCTACCAAATGTTTACACTTGACCTGAATTTCATGGCCATATCAATTTATTTTACGTTTATCGTCGAGAAATTTCTCCAATGATTAGTCAGTTGTTCAAACTAGAACCAGGTAACATAAGCCTTGTAGAGATTTGTTAGGCGGATGTTATTTCATTAAATTCGGAAGAACTACATAACATGGACAAAAACTTAGATGAAGATGTTCACACCTATGGATTATGAAACGTGTGTCATCAGAACAGTAACGGAACATGCAATCAATCCCAAATGGTGAAGTTTCATGTCACTGTTAACTAATGGTTTTGTGTGTAGTTTTTATGCATTTAGTATACTGAATATTTGCCAGAAACTCATCGAGGTCATTCAAACCTGATTTTCAAACTTCTTTCTTAGTCTCATTGGAATAAATATTTCCTATTGTAATATTTAAAGTTGGAAAAATATGTTATTCATCTTTCATATTTAATTTATTATGTTCTGTCCGCAAACACAGTGGAGTTGGTGTAAAGTTATCAATAGTTAGAAATAAACCAGATTGTAGGTGATTTAGTGAACATGTCTAATAATTCATCATAATTATGCCTGTTACCCGTCGTGAGGGAGCATAGGTCGACCACCAGCACTCTCCATCCAACTCTGTTCTGGACAATTCTTTCCAGTTCTTTCCAGTTGCTACTCATCCTTTTCATATCTGCTTCCAACTCTCAACGCATTGTGTTCTTTGGTCTACTTCTTTTCCGTTTCCCTTCACGATTCCAAGAGAGCGCTTGCTTCATGATGCAGTTTGGTGATTTTCATAATCTATGTCCTATCCACTTCCATCATCTTTTCGTAATTTCCTCTTGAGTTAGAAGCTTGTTTGTTATCTGCTATAGTAGGCTGTTGCTGATGGTATCCGGTCAACGGACATTCAGTATTTTACGTAGAAAATTGTT